GTGTGACAGTCGTGCTTCGTGATGGTTGGCCTCAGTGGGAGCTGGGTTCAGCCAGACAAAAGTTGATTGAGTATCTCTGATTTCTTTTTTTTTTTTTTTAAGATTTATTTATTTATGCATTGAGAACTGGGGTGCAGGCCAGAGGTGCAGGGGCAGTGAGAGGAATCACAGAGACAGAGTGGGGAGCAGAACAGACAGATTGACGAAGTACACTGCTGAGAGGAGCAGAGGGTGAGACAGGAGAGGTCTGCCACGCCAGGTGGGTCACCTTGAGGGCTAGGCTGGGACTGAATTCACACTGAAATGGCTGTGGCTCCCTGGCCGTGCTGTGCTTTAACCCGTTGCACCGCCAGGGAGGGGGGCACACTTTGTCTCTAGGCCACTTTGCCTCTAAGAGGCCTGTGATAAGCTTCTGTGTCTACAGCCTAAGGAATCACCATTCACTCCCCACTACCCCCCAACACTCCCCCCCATACAACTGGGTGCCCAGTTGTACAAAGTAATACTTGGAAGGGACTTCGGTGTCCATTTCTGGGGGGCTGAGCCCACATCAACAAGGCTGGTGGGGCCTTTTCTCCCTGGTGCCAACCTCCCATTTCCAGCTCCCCGGGAGACACCCCCAGATCAAGCTTCCCGGTAGCTACCACATCTACTCCTCTGTGGCAGAGCTCAGATTTCCTCCCCAAATCTGAGGCCCTGTGTCCGGTCCTATTAATGGTGCCCTGCACCCTCCTGCCCATCCTGTGCAAAGAGCCCGCAGACTCCATCACCATCACGTCTGATTCCTGGCCATGTCCCCTCCTGGCTATGCCTGCCCGCCTTCCCTGCTGCCATGGTCTTCACCCCAAGCCTGAACTGCAGTGTGTCCCCACCCCTCCCAACCCCCCCCCTTAGTTCTTCTCCCTCCCCCCTTCTACACTGTCCTCAAGCACAGGGCCGCCCAGCCCCGCCCCTGCCGCCCAGCTCTGACTGTGCACTCGCTCAGCACACATCAGGGCTGGGACGGAAGCCCAAGCCAGTCATCAGATGAGAAGGGGGCTGGGCGGGTGAACTTGGGGTTGGGTCCCTCAAATGTTCAAGCAGGCACAAAGCCTAGTAAAAATGCCTGCTCACGCTTTACTCTTCCCCGCCACATGCCTGCAGCAGCTATTCCCCTCGGACCCCCCCAACATACAACACCCACTTCCACACCTTCACTCCGCTCACCCACTCCTCTCTGGTCCCGCCCCGGCCCCTGCCCCATGGAAAGCACTGTGAGAAGAGGAATTTCAGGCAAGTTGCTCTTTGCCAGCGTCCAGAATTGCAGCTCAGTAAATACTTACAAAAGATCACCCCTCCCGCCACGCCTTCCCTTCGTGTGCCAAGTCAGAACCACTCACTTCCTACCCTCCACCTCCCGGCGTTCCCTATGGGCCTTCTACCGCCAGGCGCCTGCTTCTGCTGCCCTCTATAAAACACGGTGGGTGTTTCCACCCTGCCCACTACAGTGAGACCACACATGGACAGGAAGCCTCCTTTGTCATCTTTACAGCCCTGTGGAGCTTGGGCGTTGTGCTCAGTGATGCTACCCTGGACCCCAGGGTGCAGATGGATCGAGATGCCTCACGCGTGAGGTGGGAAGCCTCATTCCTGTGGACGTGAGTGAGGCTGTCAGCTGCTAGTCTGATGCTTGGTTTGCTCAGCATGGAGCTACGTGTCCAGCTGACTGTCCACAAATGTGCGTGGACCTGCTGGTTGTTACAGTTCGAGGCCATGCTGGGTGAGCCAAGGCTCAGGCCACTCCAGATCTCCATCTCCCTGGCTGCTGGCCTGCACCTGGCATCCCTGATGTGTCATGCCCTGAGATTTGGGTGATTTGACTGTTTAGACCACAGCTGTGGGTTTGGAGCAGGGGTGGTGTTAGCTCATCCTCGCCTACCCAGCATTTCCAGCCATTTTTAGGCTGTTCCCTTTGCTTCAGGAATCCAGGGAGGGTGTGTCCTTTCTCAGTTCCCCTGTAACCAAGTTCTTCCTTGGGAATACCCAGCTTTGATTTGGGTGACAAAGGCATTACCCTGGGGGAAGCTTCTTGAAGGTGGAGACTTGTTAACAGGCCAACCAACAAAAATCATACACAGAAATCATGTGTGATTTTTTTTAAGGCGCTCAAAGCACTTTACCAATCTCCTGAACTCATCAAATGTGTGCCAGTGAGTCTGGGAGTGAGGACCCGTGGGGAGCACTGGGTGTGTGTGTGCAGCTGGGGGCTGTGCCCTTGGGGCTGAGTTTCCTTCCTCCTCAGGCTATGTGTGGGTGGGGCCCAAGGACTGGGGTCCAGTGAGAAGAACTGTGGGTTCCACTGCCCCACTACCACTACCTCCCTGTGCTCATTTTCTGGTAGAATGCTTCCATGGAGCAAGGAATATAGGAGCCCCCAAATAATTACCTTTTCCCGTCACTCTGTCAGGTCTTCTGCTCTTGGCCCCTGTCTGTCCCCCCATTTATTGGATGTCCAGGCATAACCACTGACCTTTACCATCTACTCCTTGCCTCCCTCCCGACTGTGACTGTGGCCACACTGACTCACCCATGACACCCAAACCGCTGTCATTGACCCTCCTCTTTCCCAAAATCTTACTTCTGACTCCTGTTCTTTCCCCAGTCTAAGGAGATTTGCACAGTACCCAGCACACACAGGTACCCAATAATTGTCTCATGAGCATATCTCTCAGGATTTTGCTTGGTGCCCAAAGCTGCTGCTGGTTAAGCTAAAGTGGAAAGTCAGGCAGGAGCCTCTCACCAGAACAAGAGTCTTGGTATGAAGATATCTGCTGAAAACAGCAGGCAGACATTATGGCCAATAAACCTCAGAGGCTCACTGCATGGATGAGTGGCCAGCAGTGCTTTTATCAACCTGAAGACCGGAACTGTTATTATTTATGTGACTTGTACATTTAGTACTGGGGTCTGAGACTTCAGACCCCAGTGTTAGGTGCTCTGACACCCAATCAGTGAGCAGGACATGACAGGGATCATTCATGGAGCTAACTTTCTACCAGGGGACTCAGACCATAAGCAATGAACACAATAAATAGATCATATAGTAAGCTAGAAGGTGATAAGTGCTGTTCAAGAAACGCAAAAGGAAAGGGAAGAGGGAGAGGCAAATAGAGGAACAACAAAGGAGAGAGAAATAAATAATACCCTAAAGCCACTTGCCCATGACCAGACTAGGAAGTGACAGAGGATATGAGCAGACATTAGCTTAATTGCCTCTACTGATGAAGGAAGATAATTGAGGATCACTTCTTTGGACCTTTACAAAACCAGCTGTGTAAGAGCCAATGCCAGGCATTCTCACAGAGAAAGATTCAGCATCACAGCACGAGAGCACCAGGGAGCACCCAACACCTGCTTCCACTTCCAGGTGTGAGTCATCGTGGGCAGGTTCTTTTTTTTTTTTTTTTTTCAGATTCAATTTATTGGTTTTATTAAACTCATCAAACGATAACCCAACCAAAAAACAATCCAGGCCTCCAATTGGGAGACATTCTTGGAAAATAATTCCAACACTTTGCAAGCTTTTATGACCAGAAAAATCCTTCCTTAGTATTCATCCTTTGTCTGCTAACCCAGCTACCTCTCCTGTGAGCTGCAGTAAACCTGGAGCTCAACTTCCTTCTTCTGCCATCTAATCTTTCTTCCTTGTGTTTAAAGAATCGTGCCTCCTGGATTGCAAGTTGACTCAGCACTGGCCGTGTTCTAGAGCTGTGTCTAGACACCTATCCCTTAGAGATGAAATCCTGGGTGTTTTCACATCAATAGCCCTATAATCAACCTGCAGAATGCTTGCTGAGGGTGACTAACCATGTATAAAGGAGCCAAGCATGAGTCAGCGAAACCCCCAAAATAATGCATTTACCCTAATCTTGGCCTGGTGCAGATTCCGATTTTTGAGTCATAAAGCTCATTAGAAATGGGGATGCATTGGACTCTAATAAAGATTTTAGTGCAACCCAGATTTAGAATGGTATATTTAGGGGAGGCCGTGGGATGAAGTTTGGAGCGTAGGTAGATGATGTAAGGACAGAAAAATCATTTTGGGAAGACAGGCTTTATTGCTTCTCTCCCCACCTTCTGCCATCAGGAGAAAAGCCTGATTTGGGAAAAGTCTCTTAATTTACTCAAAAAAGAGGCTCCTGTGATTTGAGCCAGAGGAGAGGTTTATTATTTCTTTATGGGGGAGGGGTCATGTTTAAATTATAGGGGCCCTCCCAGAAGTTTCTTGGATCCCTGCCCTCGGCAGCTGTGTTTTTGACTCAGTTTTTATTGAAGTAAGGCGGGTTTATAATATGATACAGGTTTCAGTAGAAAAGCGGGGCCAGTAGAAGATGCTAGAGAACAGGGTGGGGGCCTGGCCTTGGAAGTCAGCCCCTACCCCTTGGGGAAATTCAGAAAGGAAAGGAAAGCAAATCTTTAGTAAGCGACCACTGTTTCTGTCCCGCATTAGAATTTTTCGTAGCCATGACTTCACCCTGAGAGGGAGAAGAAATCACACTCCCATTTTACAAATGAGGAGACCAGGCTTAGAGAGGTCCAGTCCCCCCCATCGAAGTACAGACCGCTGTGACCCTAGCAGGGCAGCCTGCTGGTCCTAGCAGGTTTGCTGAGGGATTTCATCTCCTAGAATCCCCCCTATCTGGGCCTTCCCTGGTGACACAACAGGTTAGGACGCAGCTGCTTCAGTGCGAGTTTGATCCCCAGGCCCAGAGGTGACCCACATCGTAAGACAGACCTCTCCTGCCACGCCCGCTGCTCCCCTCAGCAATGTACTTCATCAACCTGCCTGTTCTGCTCCCCACTCTGTCTCTGGTGAAGTCTCTCACAGCCCCTGCACCTCTGGCTTCTACGTAGCTCTATATGCATAAATAAATAAATCTTTAAAAAAAAAAAAAAAGAATCCCCCCATCTCTGGGAGACCAGGCCCCTTCTTAACCAACCGTGTGCTCTTGTGCCCTCAGGCAGTTTGGTGGTTACGCCAAGGAAGCCGACTACGTAGCTCAGGCCGCCCAGCTGCGCACCGCCCTGGAGGGCTCGGCCACCTACCGGAGCGACATGTATTTCTGCACTGGCTACGACCCTCCCATGAAGCCCTATGGCCGTCGCAATGAGGTTTGGCTGGTAAAGCCATGAGTGTGTCGAGAGCCCAAGTGTCCTGCGTGTCCACGCACTCGGGCTGGAGTGGGTGGAGCTTCCACCTGCCACTCGCCTCAGGCAACCTCCAAGCCAGTCGCTGCCAATGGTCTGAAATGAGCATGAGCCTACCCTGAGGCTTTTCTCCCATGGTGGGAAGAACCCAGTCGAAGCAGGCAGCAGCCTCCTAACTGATTTACACAATTCTGTGGTAGGCCAGAAAAATCCCAGCCATGTTATGCCAGCCTTCTGGGTTACTATGAACTGATTTTTTCTAAGTATTGCATCAGAATTTGTATTGTTGATGGAAAGATGTGATTTATGCATGATCTTTTATCTGTGATTCTTATAAGAGCTTTGTCTAAAAGAAAATAAAAATCATTGATGTACGCCAATGAGACAAATCCTAAATTGTATTATTTCCAAGATTCTACAGTCTTGGAGGAAATAGAGTTATGAGGATTATTGAGAGTGCACAGGAACCCTATTTTGAACTCCGAATTTCTCCAGGATATAAACCCAAAGACCTCTGATAGGCAGATATGCACCCAAGCTTGAATGTCCTTATATCCTTGTCCTGTACAGTAACCAGCCACCCAAGTCAAAGATCAGATTTATAACTGTGGTCCACACAGGGTTTGGGGGATGAAGAAAAATGAACATTCTAACGCACAAATCTGAAGACAGGAGATTTGCACGGAAGATTTATTCAGGGTGATGAGATGAGATTAGAGAAACCAGAGGTTTAACATTAACAGAAAAGGAGAAAAACTAAAGAGGATGTGCAGTTTGGCCCAAAGCACAGGAGACCCCAGGAGGTGAGTGGGTGGCAGCTGAGCTAAAACAGCATCTAGGGGTGCTCAGCGGGGGTGTCATCCTCCCCCCCCTTGCAACGCAACCCCATGGGCAGGTTCCCATGTTGGCCACTAAAGGGGCATTGAGGGCCCATCAGGATGGCCATAAGGGAAGGAACAAGAAAAGGAGCCTTAATTCTCACCACATAGAGTTGCTCTCTCTCACTGGACACCAAACAGAATTTGCTAGAGAATGACAGTCACATCACCACCTTTCCAGATGGCCTTTTAGCACAGCCATCTTCTGAGGGATGGGCCTTGATGTTCTGAAACTGATGGTGACGAACATCAGCTGCTGAGCCTCAACCACCTGCAGACACCATGTGGGGGTGCCATATGTGTACCCCCACGTGCACCTCTCCTCACCACACACACACATGCTCTAGGAGGGGGCAGGTTCATAATCCCCATGCAAAATTAGGGGCTCAGGGTCCCACAGGCACAGACAGTGGACTCAGACTAAGACAAAGGTGCAGCCCCCAGGCTGTGGGGACTGTCAAGGAATCTGAACTTTATCTTCTGAAAAATGAAAACTTGGTGAATCGCTTTGAACTGGAACATGACACCATGTTGATGTGTGATACCAATGTGATACTAGAAAATTCTGTCCACAGTGTAGGAAGTAGATGGGAAGGAGATGTGGCTGGAGGCAGGAGACCAGTCACCAGATTCTAAGTAAAAGATGGTAGAGACCTCCACCAGGGATGGGGTGAAGTGGACAGTTTGAGAAAGGAAAAGGATCAGTTGCGGGGAGCGGACACGGATATGTGAGTGAGAGAAAGAAGAAAGGGCCGTGTGCAATGTCAAATATTTGGGGGGAGGGGGATGTGTTGCCCCTCTCTGAGATGGGGGCATCGGCAAACAACAGACATGATGTTCCAGTCTCTTTAGTGAAGAGCAGCAAAGGAGAATGGTATTCAGAACAGCTTTGGGGGAGCTAATCTACAGGATTTTCAGCAGGAGGACAATGAGCAGATGTGTATATGCGGAGTCGAGATTTGGGGAAGGTAAGAAGTAAGAGAGAGCTGCAGAGACAGGTGGAAGCCAGAGTGTTAAAAAATCTTAAAGATCTGAACTCTGCATCCTCACTTCTGAGCCAACGCAAACAAATGCCCCAGGAGCGCTTTGCTGTCCCACTCCCCCTGCCCCAAGTCTCCGGCCTGCCCCTCTTCTCTCCTCCTTTGGAAATCCAACCCAAAGAACTTCAGCCAGGGGAAGCAGGGGGAATGGTTTGCAATGTCTGACCCCACAAGGAGGACATGGGAGAGGTTGGGTGGTGGTGATACAGCGAGTTAGTGAAAACAAGGTCCAGGACCACCTAAGGAAATAAATTGTTTGCCCTCGTCCTGGATTTAAGGGTTCCAGCCTGGACCCCAGACACCAGGGTTTCTAACTGCCAGCCAATGGTGTGGAAAGGCCATCTTTGTTCCTGGCCCCACTCTGTCACCAGAATCTTTCCCAGAACAGAAGTTGAGGGGAAGACCCTCTGGCCCCACCTCCTCAGAGAGGACCAGAGGATGTGGCTAGTAGTTTAGATAGTTCTGTATGTTGGAAAACAGTCGCGGACAGATATTAACAGAGATCTAGCCAAGGCTCTAGGCGCAGTTCTCAGGAGGCCAGCTGCTGTGGCCTCTGGAGAGCTGGACACACACGATGTTCTGCCTCTGTCGGAAGCCACCCTCCGGGGACCTTGGGAGGTTGTGTGAACTCTGCCTGCTTGGGACCACAATGTAAGCCACACCCGTCTGTGTACAGAAGTGCTTGAGGGTCATGGGGTGAATGTGGGTTAAGGCCACTGGACACTCAGCTGAGGTCAGAGGTTGGTCATCCTTCATTGAAGGGAGACTGCCTTCATTTACACTTGGCTTCTCCGCTCTTGAGTAACATCACTTTGATCTTGAGTGCATAATTAAGACTTCCTAGGATGCCACATGGATGGGTGTTTGTTTGTTTGAAGGCAGTAGATTTTGCTTTGAATTTGAAACCTTGACGAACTCTAGGTTTTCTCTTTACAAATGTTTTGTTTCTGTAGTGACCACCCACTGATCAGAATTTGGGAACAGAACCATGTCACATCCATAAATGCAAACTTAACAATCAGTTCACATGAGGAATTGGTGTGGGTCCGGAAGAGCTACTTAATCCTCATCAAACTCTTGGTAGAACTTAAGTTTTCCTTGGCAGTGAACTACAGTGGTTTGAACTGCATGGTAGATTTTTTTTCAATGAACACATAAATAGATTTTCTCTTCTTTTTTGTAGCATTTTCTCTTCTCTAGCTTGCTGTATTGCAAGAACACAGTATACACCACATATAACTTAAAAACTATGTGTTAATCCACCCTTTGTGTCATCAGCAAGGCTGCTTGTGGGCAACAGTGGCCTGTGAGTAGTTCAGTTTTGAGGGAGGAAAGGCATATGGCTATTCAACTGCTCAGGGCTGTGGTACCTCTAACTCTTGAGTCAATTAATCAAACCTTCATCAAAAAGCCACTTTATTCAATCCCAGCCTATTCTTATATCAAGCCCCTTCCTCTCACCTGAGTTCCTTATCCGCCAGCTCCTTATCACCAGAATAAGGCTTGTTCTTCTAAAATGCATCCTTAAATTCTTCCCTGATCCCTCCTGGTACACCCCCTCTTCCTTTGTGATTGGTAATCCCCACCTCACCCCCAAATCATAAAAGTATGTGTACAGCTGTTGCTGTACATGGATACATGGATTTGAATTTTTTCACTGAAGCTATTGACTGCTAGCAAGCATTAACTGAGCATTCACCTTTTCCCAGCACTATGCAGACTCATTACATGACTCATTCTTACTTACTCGACACAGTAACCATACGTGACAGTGGCAGAGACTGCCGTCTCCACCCCATACATAGATGAAGGGGAATGGCTCAGGGAAGTTCATTAACACACCCCAGAGCCAGAATTTGAACTCACATGGTGTGACCCTACAACCAAGTGCTGCTAAACACTCAGTCCAGTGAT